TCACTGTAGGATCTACAGTTCTGTTTACTTTCCACTTTGAAAAATGCACTGCTTTCCTATTTATGTGTGGGCTATAAATTAGTAAGTCACATGCACATGAAAATGAGTGTTCATCTGTTTGTGTGTTTACCAGAACAGGCAAGCAAGCACCTTTATCAAGGCAGACTCTCTTATTTTAAACAAATGTCTTATACTGGAACTAAAATTAGAAGGCATAATTTTTTTTTGCTAGTTTTTCTCATTTTGGACATATATCCACAGAGATGCAAAAAAAATGCATATATAGTATAATCAAAGTGATAGATTCAAGATCTTAAACAAGAAAACAATAACCAAAAGAAGAAACCGCCAGTGTCGCATAAGACAAGATGACCACGCCGTTTCAGGAACTTAACATCTTTGGAAAGGAATAAGATGATTTCCTCCACAGTTAAATCCCTGAGTCTTTGTAGGCCTCAGTTTTCTATCCAGAAAATGAGAAGATAGCTCTAGAATGTCTTTAAGGTTTTTTTTTTTTTTTTCCCTATCACCAACTCTGTATTATTTCTTTGTCCAGGTCATAATGTTTCTTTCTAAAAAATAGAAAAGATTTTTTACCTTTGAAAAACAAATACATAAAATTAAGCATGTGAGAAAGACTAGGCTATAAAGACAGAAGAGTTAGTTCATACACAGCCTGGGACAGGTGTTTGGGGTAGCCTCGACTTTGGATAGAGGCCCTTGGGGGATGTCTGTGCCAGAGTCACAGTGCACCCCCAGCGACCCCTGGAACATGTGTCTGGATGTCCCCATGATTTTCCCAGTACCTTGCAGGCCAGTTTCCATCCTTTAGTCCAGGTATATTCAACCTTGGCACCATCAGCATTTTGGTCTGGATAATTCTTTGTTGTGGGGCGATGTCCTGTGAATTGTAGGATACTTAGCAGTATCTTCAGCCTCTACTCACTAGAAGCCAATAGCATCACCCCATTTGTGACAACCAAAAATGTCTCCAGATATTACCAAACATCTGGTGGGTCAAACTCTACCTCATTGCTGTTGAGAAACACTGCTTTAGCTCAGTGGTTCTTAATCTGTGAGACTGGCCATCTTTCCATTCTTTGTCCCCCCACAACCCGGCTACGACTCCCCTAAATGCCAGAACCTCTTGGATAATTTCAATTTACAAACTACACGTATAACAATGTGAGTGCCCTGCTGGAAAAAATGATAAACAGTGTTAGGAAAAAATTAAACGTTTAATTAAAAGATTGTTTGTTACTTTGTAAGACACATTGTTCATCACCCTGTCATTTGTGGTCCTTTCTTTAATTTGTTCTTGTCTTCTATGCAGAACACATTAGCCTTAATTATTAAAATTGATTATTGCCGGTGCAGCATGGTTCTTTCTAGACAACTCTGCTGTGTAGGAGGAATCACCTTCTTTGTTTTTCATGGCAGTGTTGCCAGAATACATTTTTCTTCTTCTATTGGAAGTGAAGAGACTCACTGGAAAATTCAAGTTTTGTTTCTCCTTCTGGCGTAGCTCTCCAAACATAGAGTCTATGGTGCCCCTTTGGGATCTGTTCAGGACCTCCCTCTCTACCCACCAAAGCAGTGGGTTTCAGACTTGAATGTGCACAGGAATTATCTGGGGACTTGTATAACGTGCACGTTTCTCAGCCCTTCCAGGTTGTTCGGGTCCGAGCTGGGGGCCAGGAATATATGTGTTTCTCATACACACCAGGT